TCATCTCTACAATAAATCAAAAATCAGCCGGGCATGGTAGCGCATGCCTGTAGTTCCAGCTAGTTGGAAGGCTGAGGAGGAAGGATCTCCAGAACCCAGCAGGTCGAGGCAGCAGTGGCCGGGAGCGGCCACTGCGCTCCAGTCTGGGTGACAGAGTGAGACTTCAACTCAAAAAAAAAAAAAGAAAGAAATATACAGAGGAAGTAACTTCTGTGGGTTTGGTGATGCGATTCCAGTTCACTTTTATATTTCAAGTTAGATCAACAGGTTTCAAAAAAAAAGAACTTATAGAGATGGACATTGTTTTATGTTGTTTTTATACAACCACATTATGACTCAAGGACATCACTTAAAAATAAAATAAAATAAAATAAAATAAGGCCAGTTATGGTGGTTCATGCCTATAATCCCAGCACTTTGAGAGGTCAAGATGGGAGGATTGCTTGAGCCCAGGAGCTTGAGACTAGCATAGGTAACATAGCAAGACCTCATCCCTGCAAAAAAAAGTATTAAAAATTAGCTGGGTGTGGTGGCATGTGCCTGTAGTCTCTGCTACTTGGGAGGCTGAGGTAGAAGGATCTTCTGAGCCTAAAAGTTTGAGGCTGCAGTGAGCCATGATTGTGCACTGCCCTCCAGTCTTGGTGACAGAGTGAGGTTTTGATTTGAAAGAGAGAGAGAGAGAGAGAGAGAGAGAGACAGAGGGAGAGAGAGAGAGAGAGAGAGAGAATCACAGTATGAAATACATAGAACTGTGGAAGAAGATGGTATTGTCGAATCAAATGCTTGAAAGATTAGTAACTCATTGATGTATATAACTTTTAGAGTTGGGAAAAGACCAAGGAATTAATTTCATCTAACTCTCATTCATTTTTATTTTTATTTTTTAGTTTTTGAGTTGGAGTCTCACTTTGTTGCCCAGGTTGGAGTGCAGGGTCTCGCTCATGGCCACCCCAGCCTCCACCTGCTGGGCTCAGGCAATCCTTCCACCTCAGCCTTCCAAGTAGCTGGAACTACAGGCGAGTGCCACCATACCTGGCTAATTTTTTGATTTATTGTAGAAATGCAGTCTCGCCAAGTTGCCCAGGCTGGTCTCAAATCTCTGGCCTCAGGTGAAGGACGATGGCGCCAGTGAGACTCGGTACCCTTTGAGGCCAAGAGATTTATTAGAGCAGCGGCTACAGGGAGAGGGAAGGAGGTCTGTAACCGCCTGGTGGGAAAAGGGAGTGAGAGAGAGAGGGCGAGAGAGAGGTCTGTATTTATCGGTTTTGGGAGGGGGCGGCCTGTGCTCTCTGAGCCTGGCCGTGCCAGCCAGAGCCATCTTAGGGTCTTTATTGGAGGGAGCTACGATGTAGTATTCCTATAGGGAGATAATGTCTGTACATGAGTTTAAGTTTTGCGTGCGCATGGGAGAGGCAGGAATTTACGGCCTTTGTTGTCTTTGTTAGGTTCCCTAGTGTTGGAGACATCCTGCTGGCTGTTCCCCGTGCCTTTCATCAGGCAATCTTCTCGCCTTTGCCTTCCAAAGTGCTGGGATTACACTGGACCCTGCTTGGCCATAACTTGTTCTGTAAGTGAAGAGACTACAACCCTTAGAGATATTTCAGAACTTGTTCTAGATCCCACTATCAGTTAATAAAGGAGATGGGGCAGAATTAATGTGCATTAAAAATATTGATGCACTGCTTGTGGAAACTCTATTGGTTGCACAATACAATATAGGATAGAAAACAAAACTCTAGATATACGTCTAAGTTGCTTACAGTATATATAGCCAAGTCTCAGTTACCTCATCTGTAAGTGTAAAAAAAAACAACAACACATCTCTTGAAGTAACCTTGTGGAGATTAAATGAGATACTATAAGAGACAGTGCTGATCATAATCCCAAAAGACACAAACCCCAACACCATTATTGCAAATGTTGAAATTCTGAAAGGTCAAAATATCAAAAGATAAAAATCCCTAAAGTCTAAAATTTCTAACATTGAATTGAACTGAATGCCCAAACCATAATGACAGATTTTTTTTTTTTTTTTTTGAGTTGGAGTCTCACTCCTTTGCCCAAGCTGGAGTGCAGTGGCCGCTCCCGGCCACCGCAGCCTCGACCTGCTGGGTTCCGGTGATCCTTCCGCCTCAGCCTTCCGAGTAGCCGGAATTGCAGGCGCGTACTACCACGCCCGGTTGATTTTTTGATTTATTGTAGAGATGAGGTCTCACTGCCCAGGCGGGTCTCGAACCTGCGGGCTCAGGCAATCCACTCACCTCAGCCTCCCAAGGCGCGGGATTACAGTTTGAGCCACCGAGCCTGGCAATGACAGATTTTTAATCAGGCGTGATCAAGGCTTTGAAATGCGAATTTCAAAGTGTTACCAATAAGGTTTTTTTTTCTATTCAGCCCAATTTCCATTCAACCCTATTCACCCCGTTGGCATTGACAAATACTTCAGATTAGAAATGCATTATTTGTCAGCATTACAATTTCTTCCAGCTAATGAAATTACAGAGACCTTTAGTGAATTAAAGCCACATTTGCCTGAAGAACCCTGCAAAGTTACTGGCTGGTTCAAAAATAATTATGTGCATGGTAGGATAAGAAGACACTTATGCAACTGTGTTGCTGTTTGATCCTCAGTGTTGTTTCTGCCAAATCTGTGATCTGTATATGAGAGCATTCAGAATGGATTTCTGTGTACCCCAAACAACAGAGAAATATGGCACAAAAGATGGGAAAATGTAATAGGGGATGCTCGTGTTTGTGTACACCGAATCCAAGAATTTCAAA